GCCTCTTGGGGGCTGCTGCCTTGGCCTGCTGCTGTTCCCATTTCTCGAAATTCTTGGAGACCTTCTTAGAGTACCCATCCCTGGAGGAGGAGGGGCCCCTGGCTGCCCTTGCTGCATTCCACCCTTTGTCTGCTGCTACCGCCAGCAACTCCCCCAGCAGTTTGAGCTCATCCTTGAGCAGCTTCCAAGCTTTGTACTGCCGGTTTGGCTTGGGAGGGCGTGCTGCCAGGGCAAGAGTGGCTGGCTGCAACAGGTCATGATGCATGCTCGGGAGGCCCTCCGTATCCAGGCGGGACCTGGAGGAGCGCTAGCGCAGCAGCGAGCGAGCTTTCTATAGAAAATTTGTGCACTCATCCTTGTCACTGTCGCTGCTGCTGCTGCTGCTGCTGTCACTGTGCTGCTATCGACTGCGCTTGTTCCTGCGCTGCTGTCGCTGCTGCTGCCCCTGCTGCTGTCGCTGCATGTCTGCAGCAACTCATGGTTTGCCGTGTCAGCAAAACCCATGCCGGAGTCGACTTCCTCCTCGTTGGGCGTGGGCACGGGCTGGGCAGCGCGCCCTCTGCCGTGGCCTCTACTAGCAACCTCTGCCCTTCCGCAACCTCGACCAGTGGCCGGGGGCGCGGGGGCGGGGGTAGCCTGTCCCCGACTCCAAACTCTGGATCGATTGCTACGACGGACTGCATCACCTCTGTCTGGCATGACTCTAAAACTAAGCTAACACAGGTCTGAAGCCCAAGAAAGGAAAATTTGCGTACTCATCCTCCTCGCTGGGCGCACGGTGGAGGACAGCGGGAGGAGGAGAGTTCGGGCGTCCAGGAGCATGGCGGGCAACTCCCCAGATCCTCATAAGCTCTGTTCCTGGCTCGCTCCTAGGCTAGCTGTGTCTAGTGTAGGTTAAGTGGGCCTTCTGGTGAGGCCACTGCTTGCTTGTTAGTTAGCAGACCTTCCCTTCCCTGCACACGGCCTCTGGCCTGTGTAGACTTTTTTCTTTTTTTTTTTTAAATGCACTGTTTTTATGACATGTACTGTATTCGTTTGATGCAGTACATGGTCCAGGTGCGGGTTTGGTGGCGAAGCTAGGGTTCTTGCTGTGACTAATTAGGCACATTCTCCGCAACTGACTGTTTTGAATCCCAAGAGAAACCATAGGCCCAAGCTCGAAAACAGCCACTTACTAAGAACGTGCGTGAGGTGCATGCAAGAAGCAATTGTGGCCTCAGTTGGCCACCTCGGAAAAATTCAATCGCTGACAGGGTAACTCAATGTTAGTCTTTTGGAGTTTGAGTAGGATACTCTGGTCTAGCTGACATCATTGTGTTTAAATAAACTCAGGGATTCCAACGAGGTGTGTTCTGTCTAATTCACCCTATTACCATGAGGAGAAGTAAAATGTTCAATTGTGCACTGGAATATGTAAAAAAGAAAAGCTATGAGTGTATTCCCCCTTGGCCATGTTCTTGGGTGTGAGTGGGCTAGCAACTAGCACATGCGACTTCTTCAATATAACTCTTAGTGTGCCCCGCGCCGAGGACAGGAAAGAGAAGATAACAAAAGTCAGCACATCCCAGAGACCGCATGCATGATATCATGCATCGATGGAAGGCTCCTGGGCTGTTAAGCTTGCTTAAGATGGAGCATCACCAAAGCACCAGGCCCCTCGCCCCGGATGCATGCTACACAGCACAGATGGCAGCTCGAGCATTTGAGCAGATTTTCCAAGGACAACATCCCGCCAGAATATTCAAATGGCATCATATAAGTCTGCGGTGACATGATAGGTTAATCATCAAAGTGTACTAGTCCTTGCGCCGGCACAGCATGGAACGAACCCTAAAGGAAGACCTCGGCCAAGCAATCCAGGATCTGGTGCAGCCATCATGGAGCAGCAATCAGAAGTCGAGCCAAAAATGCCACTCCTCCCCCCCTCCCCCGAAGGACTCGTTTAATTCTGTTTCAAGTGCCCGCTGAAAACATAAAATGATCAATTCAAAACTCATAAGAGATGGTTGATGAACTCCTCATTATGGACATTTGCATTAAAAACCCCCTCTTTAAAGAAACTTGCCGTCAACACTTCCAAAAAAATTTGCAAAAATTTCAGCAAAGGGGACTATGGATCTTATATCGTCTCTATAGATGCATGCAATGCAGAGAGGCTCTGATCCCAGGCGATGGAAATTCCAAGTAGTGTCCATCGAAACGTTCCACATTGGCTACAGCTGTTTCCATCCAGCCACCACTTAAAACACAGCTCAGTCGCCCTGATGGCAATTTAGTTTTGCCCCTTGAAGACAGAGACTGCACGCATCACCCGCAGAATATGAATTCCAGAGACAGAGGTATCCATCTCGTTGAGCTACAACTTTGCTCTGACACCAAATTTGAACAAACTCTCCACACTGCACGACATCAGCACAAACAAACCATTGACAGCCTACGCACAAAGAACCTCGAGTCACACATCGCAATTACAGAATCACATTGCACACCATACTAATTGAGTTGCTGGGACTATCTTCAATCCCTACACTGTTGGTCTTCTCTGCAAACTTTGCCTAACCAAATACAAAGCCCACAAAACTGAAAAAAAAAACCTCCACTACCACGCAGTAAAGACAAAAATGAACAACACCAAAAATGCCATCCAATATGGCAACATAAGCAATGGGGTTTTGGGGGAAACAGGATCACGCTGGGCTAATGACTGCTGGGAATCAGCCGACCGTGGTCTGCTGTAAAGAGCAACCAAGGCCAATAATTGCCTGTTTTTTGCATGCACCTCACGCGCGTCCTCTGTGACACACTGTTTTCAAGCTTGGGCCTATGGTTCCTCTAGAGATCTTGGGTTTCAAAACAGCCAGTTGCGGAGAATATGCCTAATCAGCCAAAGCATGAACGCTATCTTCACCACCAAACCCCAACTGGACCATGTACTGCATCAAATGAAAACAGTGCATGCCATGAAAACTGTGCATTTTCCAGGAAAAGAACTGGAGGACTCCAGATCACTCTCTCAGCCCAAGATCACCCCAAAATGGCCTTCAGCTCCAGCATGGGACCATTTTTCCATCCCCAAAGTTTTGTATATGTAACCTCTATAGACACTGTTAGCATCCTGCACATCCAAAAATAGGAAAAAATAAGGTCGAAAATTGACATTTTTGGTACCCCTAGCGCTGGATTTCGAAGGTTGAAGGCTCATGGCTGAATTTCTGCATTTTATAACCACAGGGCGTTTTTTCCCCCATTTCCTTTGCGATGAGATTCCTTAGAGGCCTAATTCGATGTTGTCCGGATTCTTGGGGTCATCTGTTATGTTGCAAAAAGGACTAGTCAGGTTTTGGATACCCAACCTCTCAATCGCAACGTATATATAGTCACAACGTGACATTAACCCCCATATACTTCTGGGGAAACGCAAGGTATTGGTTTCCTCGACACATCGTCCGGGTATCAACTACACCAGAAACTTCCCCGCCACGACTGCATCCGCCAGGACTCAAAACCGCGCTTCGCTACCACTGTAACGTTGCGAAAAGGACTAGTCAGGTTTTGGATACCCAGCCTTTTAATCGCAAGGTGTATACAGTCACAACGTGACATCATCACACAGGCGCTGTTGTGTGGTGCTGTCAGAAGGCCACATCCTAACAGCACCACACGCACTGATCGTAGACTGATTTGCAGAGGGATGTGTGGTATTTGGTGCTTGCACTCTCACAGCCACACATGCGCTGGAAAAGCGGTACTGATCCCAAGATCCCGATGCATCCTGTTTCCCTCCAGTCCTGTCCCCAAGATTGGAAATCGAGGGCTGGCCATCAGGAGGTGGCAACTGCTCCGGCGGAAATGAGGCTAGCGCTGGCACTGGGGACACATACATGCAAAGCAACCAAATTTCTTAAGGGCTTGATCCAGACGTCTTTCCTGCATAGCTGATCCCGTCCTGTTTCCCTCCAGTCCTGTCAATAAGATTGGGGTGGCAACTGCTCTGCGCAAATGAGGCTAGCCCGAGGGACACATATGTTACATTACATTAGCCCTAGGGGCACATACATGCAAAGCGATCAAATTTCTGGAGGATTTGATCCAGACTTCTCTGCATGGCTCGCAAGGCCTGCCTCAAGGCCCCTTCCTTCAATGGAGGAATTTCTTCCGCACCTCCCCTGCTTCTGCAGCACACTCTGGGCCTTCTGGCCCCTAACCCTTATCACGGGTGAGGGTGAGACCTTCCCTCCTCCGCAGTCCCAATGGACCCTGTTGTCGCACTGTTATATGAGACACATTCGCCGTCTATTACACCGTCTATTGAGAGAGTGCAAGAAAGGGGTCTCCTGAGATCGATAAACCGCAACGTAACTAATTGTTGACAAGCTTAAGCTAAGTGTTTCTTGCCTTCCTGCCAGGCCACTCATTGACAAAATGGTTTCGCTACTGGGTTTGAACTTTTTCGGTGACGTGCACGCGCAAGGCCAGCTCGTTGCGGCAGCCTCTCCAGCAAGCTGAATGCATTCAGATTTTTTTTTTTGTTTTTTTTGTTAGCATTTTTGCTTTTTGCTATTACATGAGCGGCCCCCAGCAGGGACCTGACAGCAGAAGAAGAGCCGCAAGAAAGAGCGAGAACAAGAGACGCTGAAACACAACTCAAGAAAAGGACCAGCCCTACTGAGAACCCACGGGAAAAAGGACAAGGCCAGGCCAAGCTGTCCGAAGACACGCGGGAGAGCAGTTGCAGGAAGGAAACTTAACTCAAGCAGGAAACAACACCCCAAGCTCCACCCAAAGCAAGCAGCAGAAGGAGGACTGTTCAAACTAAGAAGGACACAAGCCCATAAAAAAGGCAAGGCCACTGGAAGCAAGAGAGGACAACAGAGACAAAAGAGACTCACACAGAGTTGAGCAGAGCATCAGGTGCCACGACAACATAAATGTATATATTTTAATTTTGTTGTGGATCAAGTTGAGGGGCGGGTGAGATTCAGCGGCCCCTCTGCGACCAGTCCGCTATCGTATAGGTGGTCAGTATACGCGGCTCTCAAGCTCGATCGTATGGAATCCCGCGGGACCAGGGTTCGAGTCCCTGTGGCGGAATCTTTTGAACCCACCAAACAATTTTTCACCTTTTTCCACCAAATGTTTTTTTCACCTTTCACAGGGAAATAGTTCTGAGTTTGGGTTGGCCTCCAGTGCAAATCACATGCGCTCGTGGGCCTCACTCTGCCCACGCTGTACAGCGCTGACTTCAGGGTCTTTTTCCTCAATGCACCTCATGGGAAGCTGATCTGCTTCTCCTTCTTGCCCTCCTATTCTTATGCTTTTTCTCCTTGTTCTCTCAATTCTAATGCTTCCAAATATCTGGCAGAGAGAGTTTCAGCTCGAGAAAAGAACAAGGAAAGAAAAGTCTACGCAAGCCAGAAACCGCGGGCATGAAGGGAAGGTACCCTAAGTTGAAAGCTACATAGGCTGTGTACAGGCCTCAGCCGGAAGCACTCTGAACCCATGCAAGGCACATCCAAACCCCCTCAGGAGAGAGAGAGAGAGCCAGAAGTAAGGCTCTTGCTTCCGCAGACACTACCACCATATCTGATTGCACGATACACGAAGACCATGTTAGAATCTGCATGGGAAACATCAAACATCCCTTCAAATTCGAATTAAAAAGAAGAAAAAGGAGGAAAGGAAAACCCCCGTTGCCCAAAGAAGCMCTCCCTATACCTGTTGAGGAAAAGGAGACACAGGCTCAACATGACATGTGTCTCCCTCACCAGAAGATGCAAAGGAGTTTCATGTGGATCCGGTGGGTTTTCGGCAGCTCGCGGCTCCAGGGCGCCAGGGTTTCCAAGTTGACAAATACTCCTGGTTTCGAGGGCACGCCTGGCTGAGCCAAGCTTTCGCGCAAATTATCCAGAGTTGAAATGGAGCTTCTTGCAAGTTTGGTACAGAGTTGTGATCTATTTCTAGCTCTCTGATCTGATCGAAGGTACGGGCAGTATAGATGGTCCTATCCGCACCCAGAAAGGATTGAAGAGTGATCTCAGCAGCTGGAGTCCTTCGTATGGTGAATTATGTTGCTGCTGTGAAGCCTCGAGTCGGACAACAACCGTGTATCTTTGGGGTATTTGACTCCTAGAAAAGTGCAAGTCTATGCTGGACAGCAACCAGCGTGCATTGAGGAAAGCCCCAACAGTCAGCACTATCATAAACAGTGGGTCCCACCAGGTAAGGCAAGCTTAGAGCAACTGAGCTAGCGTGGGTCCAGCAGGGTGTTAGCCTTGGTCCAGGGGTGCGCCTTGCGCTCCTGTAAGCAGGAGAGGAGTTCTATCAATTGAACATATTCAGAAACGGCAAGTAACAGAGTCGCGATACACATCATACTAATTGGAGTTGCTGGAAATGAAATGACAGTGTTTACAACCCATACACTTTTGATCCCCTCTTCAAGCCAGGCCCAACCAGAGACAAAGCCCACAAGACTGCAACTCAACTCTACAATTATGCTGCCTTAGACCTGAACAAAAATCAAAAACACCAAACATACCATTCAATTTAGCAACCCAAGTAATGGGAGGCTGGGGAAGGGGGGCTGCGGGATGGGCTGCTGGAGAGCGAGGTGTGCAACTGGACGGAAGGCCAACACCTGTTGTTGTTGTTGTTGTTGTTGTTGTTGTTGTTGTTGTTGTTGTTGTTGTTGTTGTTGTTGTTGTTGTTGTTGTTGTTGTTGTTGTTGTTGTTGTTGTTGTTGTT